TCAGTGGGGCTTTGCTTCTTTCACCTCACTTTACCCTAAGTTTGATGACTTGTGAGCATTTAGCTACAAAATGCAATTATTTAGCAAACAGGATTTACTTAACCTGGAATCTAGTAGGCCTAGGGCAGGACCCTGCTCAATGTTAGGCTCCGCCCAGGTGGAGTCCTGGCGCAGCAGGAACCTCTTTCTTCCCACCTGAGCTACTCCTTCCCCTTTTTCCCTCCCTGGAGGTTGCCTGCTGGTGCTACTATCCTCCCAGAAGGAGGGAAGCTGCAACTGGTTTCCCAGCCTAGAGTGGTAGCGGGAAAATTCACTGCTTCCACTGGAAATGAATATTAAGTGGATGGTCTGGCATGGGCGGCATCAGACATCGGGGCCGCAGCCAGTAGGTCCTGCATGTCTACTCATTTAGCTAATTGAGTTGAAAAGTTTCTGTAAGGGCCAGACCCACGACCTCTGCAATGGGCTAGAGGCCCGCTGGTGAGCCAGACTCAAAGTGGGGAGCCAATAGGCTAGAGGCCTGGTACATGAATTCGTGCACCAGTGGGGTCCCTCGGCCTGGCCTGTGGGATTAGGCCAAAACCAGCTCTCTGACATCCCCTGAAGGGTCCTGGATTGCAAGAGGGGGCAGGCCAGTCTGAGGGACCCCACCAGTGCACGATCGGGGCCAGGGAGGGACATGGGATGTTGGCCAGCTAGGAGGGCTCCAGGGCATGTCCGGCCCATCTCGCTCAGTCCCAATCAGCTGGACCCTGGTGGTCAGTACACGTCATAGCGAGCGGTTGAGTGACCTTAGCATATCAGTAGCATAGTACACTTTAATTGGTTGAACGGCCAACTGGTCGACCAGACACTTAGCATATTAGGCTTTTATTATATAGGATGATGATGATGATAACCGCTGGTGGGTATGCAAACTGCTCTCTCTGAATGACAGGATTTATAATGTTCGGTTCTTATGTTTCTATCATGTATTGCCTTTTTTTGTTGTTATGTTGTGCTGTTAATCCTACCCCAAGGCTAGTTTTCCCACCGATTTTTAGAGAGAGTGGAGGGGGAGAGACAGAGAAACACATACATGCCCTTGACCGCCATTGAACCAGGGACCATTCAGTCAGCAGGCAAAACCAGCTAGGGCCCCAAAATACAGAGTTTTAAAAAATTATTTTTGGGAGGATGAGAGCAAAAGAATTTTGAAGATGTGAACAGCTCTCCTAGTAACATGAGACCTGAAACCTCGTAGGCAAGAGAGGCACTGGGAGAGGTGCGAGTTGTTTGAGCGACCCTGGAGGCGCCCGGGGCGCCCTCATGTGGCCGGAACTCCATTTCCCATAGGCCCGCACGTGCAACTCCATTTCCCACAATTCCCGCTCGCTTCCGGCGTGGCCGAGGCGCAGTGGATAGCTTCCGGGTTTGGGCCTGGCGCTGCTCTTGTGGCGGCGGCGGCGGCGGCTGAGTGGGACACGGGAGGTGGGAGCAGGGGGACCGGAATGGACGTTTCGGGGCAGGAGACGGACTGGCGGAGCGCCGCCTTCCGGCAGAAGTTGGTCAGTCAAATGTGAGTAGGGGCCGGGGCAGCGGACGGGAT